GGGCCAGGGGTGAGAATACATTAGGAACCAAGGATTATGATTAGTCCAATTCTGGGCACCGTATGACCTGTTACAATAAATAAAAATAGTCTGTCCTCTCCGCTTGACCCTAGTTCTGCTTATTTTTGCACTTCCTCCCGCAGTGATGCTGGGGTCACCGTAACCTTGCTCTCTGCAATCGGGGTTATGAGCACAGGCTGGGCAGGAAGCGAACCGGGGGGTGAGGCCATATCTGCTACAACACTGTTCTCGATAGGCCCTTTGTGGTAAGGGTTTCCAAGAACCCGCGGAGCAGTTGAAGGAGCTGAGCAACATTTACAAGAACTGTGCGTTTGCCCCACCTCTTCCCCCTGCCGCTGGCCCCCTCTCTCCACCCTCTGCCGCCTCCAACCCTTCCTCCCTGCCCAGGCCCAAGGGCAGGGCAGCCCATGGGAGCACAGCACAGAACCACTCACCCAGCTCTATGGTGTTTGGGGAAGACCTGCCCGGACCTCCAGATCCTGGGCCCTGAAAGGAGCTTCACACATATTTAATTTATTAAGAGGCAGATTAGCAGAGTGATAAGGAGCATGGATTGCCTGGGTCCAAGTTCTGACCTGGCCACTTCTTAGGTATGTGACTTTTTGACATGAGAATTAACTGCTCTGAGCCTCAGTCTTCCCCATCTGTAAAATGGGGATAGATGATAGCATTTACCTCATGGAGATTGGTTGTAAGATTAAATTAATATGTGCAAAGCTGGTGTTAGCTGTTATGGCTCAGTGTTAAAAAAAGAAAAAAGAAAAAAGAAAGAAAGATGCAAATGAATCAGAGAGACCGTGGTCTAGTGCAGGTGTCAGCAAGCTTTTTCTATAAAGGGCCACATGGCAAATATTTTGGCTTTGCCAGTTATAAGGTCACAACTACTCAACTCTGCCCCTACAGCACGAAAGCAGCCACAAACAATTCTCAACTGGATGTGCTTCACTTATGAATATTGACAGTTGAATTTTATATAATCTTTATGTGTTACAAAATAATATTCTGTCCTGGCCGGTGTTGCTCAGTGGTTGGAGCATCGGCCTTCACAAAGAAGGGTCACAGGTTCTATTCCCGGTCAAGGGCATGTGCCTGGGTTGCAGGTTCCATCCCCACCCTGGTTGGGGCACATGTAGGAGGCAACCAATTAACATCTCTCTCTCACATCAATGTTTCTCTCTCCCTTGCCTTCCCTCCCTTCCTCTTTCTTTAAAAATCAATAATAATAATAAATAATAATAATATAGAACCGTAGAAGAGGGTAAAGAAGGAATAAATGGTGATGGAAAGAGACTTGACTTTAGGTGGTGAACACTTAATACAATATACAGATGATATAGAATTGTACATCTGAAACCTATGTATCGATAATTTTATTAACCAATGTCACCCCAATAAATTCAATAAAAATAAAAAGAATAATGCAAGCACCTTCGTCTTCACCATCTGGCTTCTGAAACGAAGCCTTGCCCAAACAGTGGAAAGGCCCCGTACAGATATCCCTCCCAAAACCCCAACCTCCCTGTCTCCTCCCCAGAAGTAATAACCACTACCCTGACTTTGGGACTTTATTGCCCTGTACTTCTTAGTACTTTTACTGCATATTTGTCTGCACCATATGCAGGAGCTAGTATTTGTTTGCATAAGTGCTCACCTATTTAACTTAATCTTCCTGTTATTTAAAAAGAATCTTCCAGGCTAGGAGTAGCTCTGTTTAGAGAGTAGCCTCAGAGGGCGTGCCTTGCCCAAGGCATGCAGGTGAGTGGTGTAGGCTTCACAGGCCGAGGGGATTCCCAAGGTGATGCTCCTAAAGACTGCCCCTCTTCATCCTTGTGGCCACAGTCACATCAGTTATCTGACTTCTGTTCCACACTAGGCTTAAAAAAGACCACATATGATCTGTCACCCTGCCTATACAACCCCTAGCATTTTGTACCCAATAGAAGCATGATATGTATTTCTTCAGGGACCCTTAGCAGTCTCAGTAGAGGATAGAGAACTGCCAGCAACTCAAGGGGAACAAGGGTGGGGCTGTGCTAGATTTCGTTACAAGTTTGGGGCAATTTTTAATTGTTCACGTGTCAACTTTACTGGAAAGGATGAGGCATGCAACCCTCACGCTCCAAGAGGTTGTGAGTTGGGGGGGAGGAGGGGAAGGAAAAGGGGAACCTACAGAATCAGTTCCCAGAACCAAGAAATCCTTCCTTCCTCTCCTGCAGCCACTGGGGTAGAGCTAGGGTTTGGGACCTAATCCAAGCTGGAGGGCAGACAATGAGAGGTGGCGGGTACTACAGCCGGGACGCTCAGGCATCTTGATAAGACAGCACCCTGGCCAGTGTCCAAAGGATGTGAGTATGCACCAAGGGGAGAGGACAAGGTGACCCACAGGGGAGGATGTCAGAACTGCTGCCGGTGCTGAAGCAAGAAGCCCACCTTCACTGTGTGCACACCAAGTGTGCTCAGCAGAGCAGGCCTGCCTGCACTACATGGTCTCATCTACCGTCCAGTTTAAACGAAACCCAAGAAATGAACAAGGGCCCTGGCCGGTGGTTGGTTGGTTGGAGCATCACCCCGTAAGACAAAAGGTGCATAGCAAAAGGTCACGGGATTTGATTCCTGATCAGGGCACATGCCTGGGTTTCGCATTTGTCCCAGGTCCAGGCATGTATGGGGGTAGGGGAGGGCAGCCAATTGATATTTCTCTATCTCCCACTCTGTATAAAATCAATAAGCAGCCGAAGCCGGTTTGGCTCAGTGGATAGAGCATTAGCCTGCGGACTGAAGGGTCCCGGGTTCGATTCCGGTCAAGGGCATGTACCTCGGTTGCGGGCACATCTCCAGTAGGGGGTGTGCAAGAGGCGGCTGATCGATGACTCTCTCATCGATGTTTCTAACTATCTCTCTCCCTTCCTCTCTGTAAAAATCAATAAAAATATTTTTTTTAAATCAATAAGCATATCCTTGGGTAAGGATTTAAAAAAAATAAAGTGAATATATAAATAAGGGGCTTAAAGATTCCTGCAAACAACATACTGCAAACCCCAATTATCTCAACAAGGGTTAATGGAAGAAAATTGAAGAACATCTCACCTATTGTTTATAAACCTGTTGTCAAGCACATTGGAGGGGAAAATCCTGCTTGTCATCCACATTACTCATGACCAAACCCCACACTGCATATGAAGGAAACGTGAGTCAGTAATCTAAGAGTAATTTGTTTTTCCAGCAACTGTTAATACATTGCAAGGGTTCATGCTGTCTTACTAGTGAAGGACAGTAGGGCTGTTTGACAGCTCAGCCCTGCTCACTACAATCTTCTGCAGTGATGGAAATGCCCTCTATTTCCTGAGCCCCTAAGACACAATCAGCTATTTCATGAAATATGACTAATGCAACTGCGAGATAGCCCCCTCCCCTCCTCCCATGCTGTATTAGAGAAACTAGAATTTGCATTAGGAACAGACCCTGACTTTACACGGGGCCCCTCAAGCCAAATCATGTCCACATAAGACTGCCTCCCTCACCTTGGCCATACATTATTCCAGAAAAGCGATCATCCCCAGAACCCCTGTTGAAGGAACCTGATTTAGGCTGAAGTTCCCTTTTCTCTCCTACATGTTAGAGATTTTGACGCACACCAAGTGGTTAATAAAGGCACATTAGCACGTCTGCACAGATAAGACTTAGAAGCCACAAGTTAAGATAAAAGGTTTTTATTCAAAAAACGCCAGGTATAAAAAAAAAAAATAATAAGGTATCTTTTATTCCCCTGTACAGTATTTCACTCAGATAAAACCAGCAGGCTACGCGCTGCTTCAAACACAGCCCCAGAGGATCCCGAAGGCACGCTGTCCAGCACTGGTTTCCAGGCATCTACCCTATGTACACAATCAGCAACTCCCCTCCCGTCCCCCATGGCACCCACCCGCTAGGCAAGCAGGCGAGAGGGGCCTGCAGCAGTCCCGCCTGAGCCCCACCACCCTAAGGACAGAGCAAGTGTCGAAGCCCCCCCAAAAAACAGGTCCCCAAGTCAGAGGAGGAAAAGAAACTATGGCAGCAGCTGTGGAAGCTTGGAGCTGACGGGAACCAAATAAATAAATAAATAAATACATAACGTTGACCTCCAGGTTAGAATGCGCAACTTTCAAAAAAAAAAAAAAAAAAAAAAAAAAAAGGAAACAACAGGTAAAATAACTTAAAAGGCAAAAAAATTTTTTTAAAATTAGATCAACTACAATCCTTTTGTACACTATCATGCCAGCTGTACACACATTTACAGTTTTTTTCTGTCGATTTGCATTGTTTGTGCATTTTGTGTGTGTGTGTGAGGTCTTGGCTTTGAAACAGTTACGTAAAAACCAAAAAGGAAGACCAGAAAAAGGGCAGGTGGCTCAGCATTTGGCCCTGTAGCCTCTTCCATGGCACCTTTCATATGAAGGATGGGGGAGGAAGGGACGGGAGAGAAAAACAGGGAAAACCAAACCCAGGCAGATTTTTGGAAGAAGCAGCAGGTAAAAGAGGCAAGTTCAAGTATTTCTCCCAGCACAGCCGGAGTCCCCACAGAAGGCACTCAGAAGAGTCAAGGAAGAGGTGACAGGGACTTAAAAAAACGGTGCTAGTCCTATCCCACCCCAACCCGTTTTCCCCTAACCTGACCATCATGGCATTCAGTGAAGGGAACAGTCCATGACAGGGTTCTGACCCCCACCCCCTCCCCCACCCCACCCCTGGGAATTTTGCAGAGTCCAGCAATGCTGGCTGCACACCTATGAGAAAGAGAGAGCGTCTACGAGGAATCGAGGCCTAGGACACCCAGAGGAATTCTTTCCCCCTGTCCGAGGCCTCCTCCGGGGCCTGGGGTCTGGAATGAGCTGTAAATGTTGTTCCTGTACCAAGCACTGTGCTGCTTGGTGAGAAGTCACTGGTACAAGCTTCCCCGCCCCGGAGCTTCTGCCCGGAGGGGAGGGCCTGCTGGAAAGCTGCTATTTGCTGGGCCCCGGCGACAGGCTGTGCAGATGGATCTCAGCAGTTTCCTGGGGCAGGAGCACATCTTGCATCCACGGGTGATTCTGGATTTCTTCAAAGGAAGGCCGATCTGATGGCTTCAGGGCTAAGCACCACCGAATGAGATGCTGACACTCTGCAGGAAACAAGAAAGGTTATGAATGACTCAGTTTGTTTTTGTGATGCAAGGGGGCCTTCCCAAGGACCCACAAGTCTGAGGCCCATCAGAGACCACAGACTTTCTAGAACTCTATTCTATAGTGAGAATATATTAACATCTGGACCCAACTGTCTGCTTTCAGCTAAAAAAAAAACCAGCGCCCCTCTTAAATCTGTGGTTTCAGATTTCAATAGCTAGAGCCTTTCCCACGCCACCCACTCATCAGAAGTATGAACGAGGGCGACTAGGGATTTTGATGAGACATCAGTGAGCAGGAGGTGATTCAGTTCACCTACCAACTTACAAATATGAACACCACCCACGGTGAGGTCACTGGGACCACAAGGTTTAGAGCCTGCCTTAATTTAAGGGAGAAGGCTCGCCAAGCACTCAACGTTTTTCCTCCCTGGCAACCCAGCCAGGCAGTGAGGGACCAGGACGATTCTGTTGGTGCTTTAAACAACCTCTCGGTGAAACTAGATGTCTTTTCTTAGTCTCACACCTGCCCTTCCTCTGACCTCCCAAAGACTGCTCAACCGCAAGCCCTTGGCTTCCCCGGGGTCAGCAGGTCACTGCTGGCCTAGGACAGGAAGTCAGAGGCCGGCCACCTCCTGGAGAGTGAAGCTCCCCAGAATGCAAAGCCTGTGTCCTTGCTTCTCTTCAACAGGCGGCCCCCAGAACTTACCTGAAGAGACCCTCTGCCTGAAGAAAACTTGGCCCCTGATGATCTCCTCATCGTGCTCGAACGGAATATCTCCGCAGACCATGTCGTACAGCAGGATCCCCAGGGACCACACGGCCGCCGACCTGCCGTGGTAGCGATGGTAGCGGATCCACTCTGGAGGGCTATACACTCGGGTCCCTGTGAGCCAAGGGAATAGGAAGGAAAACACGCTTTCAGCAAAAATAACACACAAAGCAACTGAGTAATTCTTTAAAAACAAAAGGCACCCCGGTCTTTCCCTCAGGAGCTGGTGAACTCAATTTACCTCCCTAAGCTGAAAGGAGTTTATGGATAAGCAGCTTATGGCATCTCTCCAACCCAAAGCATTACCTCCCTCTCTACCAGCCCAGACCATAAACTGAAAGTCTTCACAAGCTGCTCCAAGAGACCCAGCGCCTGCCTGAGGCCTGCATGCGGCAGGACCACCCAAAAGGGGGTAAAGGGGTGAATGTCTGCACAATCAGGGGAGGCACCCCACAGACAAAACTTCAATTGCACTGAAGGTTGCCCGGGAGCCAGGCTGAGATTCTCCTCTCAGATATGATGTAGGTGAGGGCACTTGCACAACATCCTCAGTCAGGGTGCCCTCTGAGTGCAGGGGCAGACACCCACACCCTTTCCTCCCCACACTGGAAAGGTAGACAGATCTGCAGAGCTGGTTCCAGACCACGTGATTCCTGTTTACAAACTTTGGGTTGTAAAAAAAAAAAAAAAAGTAGGGCCCATTCTCCTGGTGCTCACCAGGGGGCAGCAAAGACTCGAAAGAAAGAAAAAAAAACAACAACATGGGAGGATCCGACCAGCCATTAACTGTTAAATACAAAAAAAATGCAGCCCAGCCCAGCGTCCTCCAAGGGCAAATAAACACAAACCACAGCCCCAGTCACAAGTTTTGAAAGGCTGTCGTTGGTTAGGCTGAGCGGCTCAGGTGACCCACCCCACTGGCTTTGATCGCCGGCTCTCGGTCCCACCTTTTCAGAAAAAAACCTGCTCCCAGCCCTTCCCTAGGATAGGTTTTCCTCCTCTTCGGAGACACCCAACTAATTTTCAAACTAGCAAGAGATCTTATTTCACAACATTCATTCCCTCGCTGAACAACACCGGGGAGGGAGGGGGGGGGGGAATCAGCAAAATGAATTATTTAGTGAAACTATTTCTGTTTCTATTCCTTATCTGCCCCTAGATCAAAGAGGAGGGGAAAACGCAGTCTAAAAACAACCTAACAGAAAGCTAAACGCGTATAAAAACAAAGCAAAAACCACAAAAACCGGCGTCAATTCTCATCTCTCCCCCTCTCTCTCCGCTCTTCCACCTCCCATCCTATTACTGACGACGGGGAAACTGGGTCAGACTTCAGAAATCTGGGCTACGGCCGGTTGCTCACAACCTCTTATTCGTCTGGAAAGCTTGGGAACCCCCTGAGTTCTACTTTAAAAAAATATACATAAATATAATAAAATCGTGCCAGAAACATTACAGGTTCCGCTGGCTTGAAATCCCCGGCGGCTTTACTACGCCGGGAAGCTCTCCCCGCCCCACCCCTGCCTGCTATCATGGAGCCGGGCTGCCCGTGACCTTTACAAAGGGCCAGAGAGGGAAGCTGGCCGAGGCCTGCGGGCCAGGCCGAGTCACCTGGGCAGCTCCCTCCCTCCCTCCCTCCCGGCGGCTCCCGCCCCGGCCTGGCTCACCGTCAAAGTCCGTGTAGACGGTGTCCTTGAGCAGCGCCCCCGACCCGAAGTCGATGAGCTTCAGCTCGCCGCGGTGCAGGTCGATGAGGATGTTCTCGTCCTTGATGTCGCGGTGGAGCACGCCGCAGCTGTGGCAGTGCCGCACGGCCTCCAGCACCTGCCAGAAGAAGCTGCGGGCCAGCTCCTCCTGCAGGGCGCCCCGCTCCGTGATGAAGTCGAAGAGGTCCTGCACCGGCTCGGGCCTCTCCAGGATCAGCACGAAACTGTCGGGCCTCTCGAACCAGTCCAGGAGCCGGATGACGCCCGGGAAGCCCGAGCTCACCTTCTTCAGCAGCACCACCTCCATGGGAACCCGGGTTCCATTGGGCTGCGGGCGGGCACCGGGAGGCTGCGTTAGCGCGCCGGGCGGAGGGCGCCCCTCGCCCCACCCCACCCGTCCCGGGGGTCTCGCTCCCTCCGGGCACTCACCAGCTCTCCCCAGTCGGAAATCCGGTCCTTCTCCACGTGCTTGATGGCCACCTGGAAATCACCCCGGGAGAGCCGGCGTTAGATCCCCCCGCCGGGGCCCACACACAGCCCCGCGCCCCCTCCCCGCCCCGCCCCGCGCCCCCCATCCCCCCGGCGTGGCGCCCACTCACCGGCAAGTTGTCGGCGACACGGACGCCGGAGTAGACGGAGCCGAAGCCGCCGCTGCCCAGGAGCGGGCCCACCTGGTACTGCGACTCCAGGGGCTCCTTCTCCTTGCCTAGCAGAGGGGGAGCAGGGGGCTCAGTGCCGGCCCGCGGGCCCCCAGATCCCCCACCCGGAGGGCCCAGCCCACTGCTCCCCATCCCCATCCCCATCCCCATCCCGGGCGCGGGGGGCGCTTACCGGGCGCCAGCTTGGTGGCGTGCAGGTCGTTGCAGGGCGCGGCGCGCAGGTGGGCGAGCGAGTTGATTTTGGAGAGGAGCATCCCACCCTCCGGGGTGTCGGCGCGGGCGCCGCCTGGAGCCGCTGCCGCCGCAGGAGCGGGAGGCCGGGCTGCGCCTGTGGCCGGGCTAAGGCTGCGGCTGGCGATGCGGCGAGGCTGCGGCTGGCGCGGAAGGCCGAGGGCGAGTCGGAGGACAACCGGGGGCTCCGCCGGGGCTGTCGGCCGGTGGACCCCCTGGCGGGGTCAGGCAGCGCCGAGGGCGACGGGGTAGGCGGCTCGTGGGAGTCCGTGTGGCAGGGCCGCGGCACTGGGGGCTGATCGCTGCTGCTGCTGCTGCTGCTGCTCGTCCCGCCGCCGCCGCTGCCGCCAAGTCCTCTCGGGCCTTCGCCGCCGCGGCCGCAGTAGCAGACGCCGGGCTCGCAACGCCGCCAGGAGTAAAGGGGCGGAGCGCGCCTGCGGGGGGGCGCGGGCGGGCGGGCGGGCGGGGAAGGGGCGGGGCCTCTCCCGGGGGCCTAGGCGGGGAGCCGGCTGCCGCGCCGGCCGAGAAAGGAGAGGGGGTAGGGCGGCCGCGGGCCAGGGCGACTCCCTTGGTCCCCGCCCCGCGCGCTCGAGCGCCGCGCCCAGGCCCCGCCCACGCCGGCGCCTCCCCAGCCAACCAGCGGCCGGCTGATCTGCATAACACGCCCCGCCCCCGCCCCGCCCTGCTCTCGCGGTCAGAATGGTCTCTACGCCGCCACGACGTGGCGGGAAGGAAAAGGCGCCAAAATGGAGGGGGAGGGGCGCGGGGCGTGCGGGAGGCGGGCGCTGGGCGTAGAGCCGCCGGGAGGAAGGATGGGGAGGGGCGTATCGATTCAAACCCAAACAATAACAAAGCCTTCAAAGGCCGCGCGGGGCCGGCTCTGCGGCTCTTCCTCTGAGGTTTTTGGGTCAAGGGCTCGAGCTGGAGCAAAACAAGCTGCGCCGGGCCGCCGGGCGCTGGTGCGTCGGGCGAGCAGGCCCGGCGGGCGGCCGGGGAGGGCCGCGGCCGCGGCCGGCGTGAGGCGCGACGTGTGTGGGGAGGCCGACGAGGGTGGTCTCTCCGTGTGACTCAGACCCGAGACCGCCTAGGCGGCCGGGCGGGGTGACGACACGCTGTGGGCTCGGACCGGGTCCGCGCGGGGCGGGCGGGGGGCGGGCGCGGGGGGAGCCCCGGAGAGCTGTGAGTCACGGCGTGTCCGCGGAGGCCGTGGCGGGGGCCGGCCCGGAATAAACGGGAGCACTCCGCGTGCGTCCAGATGGCAACTGTCAGCCGTGCGAAACGTCATCCTCCCCCGAACACACACGCACACGATTCTCACGACTTTTATTAAAAGAGCAGGAAGGCGTCCTCCTCCGCAGCGGTGTGTGAGCCCCGCGGAGGCGATCACGACGCCAGGGCTACGCGGTGCCGCCGCCCCCGGCCCGCGGAGGGCGGGAGGGAAAGGCCTCCCGCAGCTCCTCCCTCCATCTCCTCCATCTCCTCCCTCCATCTCCTCTCCCATCTTCTTCCCCATCTCCTCCGTTTCCACGTCGCAGTCCCCTCTCCTCAGCCCGAGGTTACAGGCGGGCACACCTGCCATTGCGGGCTGCCCAGGCGTGTCTCCAAGGAAAGCCCCTCTCTCCCAGGAAATAACACGGAAAGCTGACCAGCTCGACTTGCCTCCTTTGTTCTTTTAGACTTCACGCAGAGTTGACAGTGACATTGAAATGAGTACATTGAAACTCTATGGAATGCATACATTGAATTGTCAATGGCCTAAGGAAAAGCTAACTCTATCCTTTTTTTTTTTTTTTTTTCAAGATTCGGCCACTTAAAAGGGGGAAAAGGGGGTATTTCAGGATGTGTACACCTGCAAGTCATTAATGAACTTAAATTCCATTAAAAGTTTTCTTCAGCACTCATTTTATAAAGATGCCCGGATACTTTACAACGTTTTAGAATTTGTTATATAAAACAGTATATATTTTCCTTTGTGTACTATGGCTTAACTCATTAATTTTTAAAAAATATTTTTTATTAATTTCAGAAAGGAAGGGAGAGGGAGAGAGAGACAGGAACATAAATGATAAAATAAAATTGATTGGCTGCTTCCTACACGCTCCCACTGGGGATGGAGTCTGCCACCTGGCATGTGACCTGACCAGGAATCAAACCTTGACCTTCTGGCTCATAGGTCAAAACTCAACCACTGAGCCGCACTGGTGGGGCTAACTCATACATTCTTTAAAGTTTTTATTTATGGATTGGCTTATAGAGAGAGGGAGAGAGAAACATCGACTACTTGTTCCACATATGCATTCATTGGTTGACTTTTTTATTTTTAATATATATTTTGATTGGTTTCAGAGAGGAAGGGAAAGAAACATCAATGATGAGAGCATTATTGATCAGCTGCCTCCTGCATGCCCTTCCCGCCATTGGAGATCAAGCCTGCAACCCAGGCATGTGCCCTTGACTGGAATCGAACCCGGGACAAGGTTTTCTTAAACTAGTGGTCACCAACCTTTTGGACCTCACAGACCACCAGTTGGAGACCACTGCAAATTTAGCCCATTGGCCAATGAGCCAAACCAGTTAGGGCTGATTTTTTTTTCTTTTAATGTTTTGATTGATTTTTTAGAGAGGGAGGAAGGGAGAGATCGAAACATTTATGAGAGAGAAACATCATTGATTGGCTGCTCTGCACTCCCACAACTGGAGATCAAGCCTTCAACTGGGCATATGCCCTGACTGGAAATTGAACCAACAACCTCTTGGTTCATGGGTGGATGCTAAACCACTGAGCCACAGGAGCCAGCCCATTGGTTGGTTCTGATATGTGCCCTGCCCAGGGATCAAGCCTGAACTTTGGCATTATTGGGAAAGAAGATGCTCCATCCAACTGAGCTACCTGGGCAGGGATAGCTCATTCCTTTTTGTTGACTAGGAGAAAGCCCAAGGGAACAAGAGTCATTCCCTGTTTACATTTAGAAAAATGACACATAAGTAGGGTGACACCAAAGGAGGAAGACATGAAATGACCCAAATTCAACTCCTGAGGATTTAAAGACTTCCTCCTGTCAGGGTCTAAAACTGCCCGTGGTACTAAGACATCCAGTGTAAATATACTTAACACCCCCCTCCCCAACCATCCCCTTTACCCTCTCTTTTCTCAAGCCCCACTACGATCTCACTTGCTCACACTCACCTAGCACTTTCTGCCTTTACAGAAGCAGCCAAACTGTTCTCAGACTGCCCTCTCCTCTTCACTTCTATTAAAGCCTTTATAGCCATCAAGAAACAATTGCAAATAAACTCCAAGCATTCACCCACAGTCCACTCTGTCACAATAATCTATTTGGATTGTTGTTTTTAATGTCTGCGTTGATTAAATTTTCAATTATTTATATCTTGTCTCCCTATTCCTTGAAAGTATACTTTATCTAACATTTGATGATGAAGGGGAAGACCAAAATGGGTGGTCCCCCCAAAAAAGGTCATGATTAAAGTTTATTTATACCAAATTTAAATTAATTAAGTGGCTTACGCAAAATAAAGGTGAGTAGCAAGGGCTTTAAACTAAGTTAGCCTGCTTGTAAACCTGTGATCTGGCACCTAAACTAGTCATGTGATATTAGTCTTGTTACTTAACCTTCCTAAAGCTTCAGACTCTGAATGGAGATGATAATAATAGCACCTACCTCATAGGGCTGTGGTAAGAAGCAGATAAAATTCTGCATGTAAAGCAGACTTATGAGCACAGCTTAGCACAGAGCAAACTTACAAATATTAGCTATCTGGCAATAATGCTGATGGTGATTATGGCAATGATAATGAAAAGGAGGAATTGTAGAATCGTCTTGCTCCTTGGAGATTCCAAAGGTTTCAGGATAGTTTGATTTAATCATTTTGGGAGAGAATATGATTCAAAATAGTTGTATACATTAAATCAAGTTTAACCTTTTTTTTTTTTTCACTTTCTCTAGATTTTTGTAGGCTTAAATATTTAATTAGATCTAAAGTGATTTAACATTTAATATGTTTGCTTTATATAGTGGGTACTTCAAAGCTGGAAGTTACAAAACATGGACCACACTTGGCAAGAGCTTTTATTTACTTAAAACTGCTTTTAAATGTAATTATTAAACATTCAAGTGTGTTTCATGTTAAAAGTTACTTTTCTCAAGTGTAGGGAACTTGATGTTTTGATTCATCAACATGTAGTTTAAATAATAAAAAGCAAGCACTACTTGTGCTTGTCTCAAAGAATCTAATAAGGAATCAGAAAAAGCATGCTAATTATTAAAGGACAAGAGCTTTTAGGAAGATAAATGCCATAATAATGCTAACAATTCTCTGGAAAAGGGAACATGTTAATGTGAACAATACCCAAATGAATCCTTCTACCTGCCATGGATTTTATCAAGCCATTGTCAAAGGAATGACTTGAGCAATTTCTGTAATCACAGTTTAGAAGAATTGAGTTTGAAAGGGTGCATGTATACTATTTTTTAAAGTACCTCTGAGACTGTTGATTTTGTGTGTTTTTTTTAATCCTCACCTGAGGACATTTTCCCATTGATTTTTAGGTAGAGTGGAAGAGAGGGAGAAAGACAGAGAGAAACATCGATTGGTTGCCTCCTGCGTAAGATTCGACCAGGGCCAGGTCGGGGAAGGAGTCTGCAACCAAGGTACGTGCTCTTGAGCCAAACCGGCTAGGGCAAGTTGATGCATTTTTATAGGTAGGGGTCTGTACTTTAAGTCCTCAATTGTCCTGGAACTGCAGCAAAACCAATTTAACTATAGGCTAAAAGAGTTAAGTTTCTAGGGCAACTCATCAACTTTATAACAAAACAACGTTGAAAGTTACCTTATTGGAGGATCTGCTGTATAACTTTCTCTATAAGCTATCTGTAATGAGGAGAAAATCATTTGGGTCTGTATCTCTTATTTCTCCTTGAAAATACAATTACTGCATTTTTCAAGTTTGAAGTTTAATTTTGAAAAATTTACTGTTTTTTATTTTACTCTCTCTTTGGTGAAA